TTTGATTTATGAGGGAGGGAGGGAGAGAGACCTGGTGAAACTTTCAAGATTCAGTAATAGAGTTCTGATTGTTTTATGATATCTGTTTCCTGACATGGCTTACATCATGAAAGATTGATGTAAAATATGTTGGGTCTACTTTTTTTAAATGATCATTTAAAAAAAGTTAAGACATGATGTTTACACATCCACTTTTATTTCCCATAATTACTGCATTGTTTCTGTTTCCTTTTTAAAGATAAAAAAAACATTGGAAGCAAAGAACTGCAGTGGCTTTAATGATTCAAGGAGAGGCGTTTATTTTAAACTCCCATGTGCTATGAAGCATTTCATTTGAATGGTTTTATCACCCTTGTAATCATATTAATCAAATTTTGTTTAAATTTTATTTTATTTTCAATTAAAATAGAGCAAATGTAATACAGTTTACCAAGCTCTCTCTCCTGAAAGATTGTATAACCCCAAATACATCTACTAGAGATCTTGTTCTCGCAATACAAATCTACATTTCAAAGCAGGTCCTTTAATGTTGGGAAATGCCCAGACAGACAGACATAAACACTCAAGGTGGAATTAGCTTTGAATCACAAGAGATCCAGGACTGATCCCACTCTTTCAGCTCCATGCAACCTTATTTATCTGTTCTCATGGGAAAGCAAGCAGTCTGGAGAAATCCTGTATTACAGACATAATACAATAAAATAGTTAGCTTGACCTTTACACATGTGGATCTGATTGCTTGTGCCTGATGTTTAACTCTATACAGGTCTCAAAATCTATTCAGTATTGATGCAGAAAATATAAGTATTCCCTGATACTACAATTTCTTGATTAATAGAAATGTATTTGCACAAAACAATGGCTTATACATCATTAATCAAGTTAGAGTGTGAACAGAATTTCTCAGCAGAATGACAGTTATTAAATACCCTTAGATCCAAAATGTGAACTTAATGAAAAAAGTGTCATACTTGCAACAGCTTTTATAAATCGACTGGTGTGACTGCAATTATCATTAATTTTATTTTCTGAGATACAGTGAAAAATGAAAGAGCACAGTTTAAGTGGTATTGTCCAAATCAATTTTATAATTGAAGTTACTCATCACATATTCCAAGGTTTTGGATCTCCAGAAGCTTTGGATTTATTACTCTTCTGAGAATTGTAGTCAGAACACATTAGGAATGTCCTAGACATGCAAGGCTGTTGTCATCCATTCAGGGTAGTCCAGATAGGAAACCAAATCATGAGAACTAGCACCACCTTTATTGTACAGTTACAGTAACATATCTTGCAAGTCTGAAAGCATTTCTTCCTTCCTTTGCTTTTACTTTCCAGAGAACTAGGAAGGGTCTCTTCTGAGACACTTTCTCCAACTCCATTTCTCTCGTGGGGTAAGATACTTCTTGTCTGACTATTGCCTTGGCTGCAGCTCTTTCTTGGGTCTCCCAAGGTTATTCACCCATACAGCTGAACTATCAATTCTAGAAGAACTTCTGTAGTTTAATAGACTGAAATATACCTTAACACATGTAAGTTGCAAATTAGCAGCCTGAAGTATGGGGAATTACCTGGCAGAGATAAGGAAATTCAATATGCAAAGAAAGGGCCACTTCTGAGCTATAGCTAAGACTTCAAATGTGGCATGCCATATGAGCTTTTGAAACCAATTCTCGTTAGCTAAATGTTTTTATTTGTTGACATGTACTTAATTTTCATACTTATTCAGAAACAAATCCTCTTAAATTCAATGGAATGACATGTTCCGTCTTAGTCTGTACTGGAAAGGGATTAGGGAAAATTTAATTCCAGTCAAGAATTCATATCTTCTTTGACATGCTATCAATATTAGAGGAAAAAAACCCTCCCACTGATGCTGGTAAAAAAGAAACTTCAAAAATCAGGAATTGGTTCCACCAACATGGATTATTTTGCCACATAAGATTAATCAGTTATACCACAATTTTTATTGTACCTAGCAAAACACTCCGTGGCTTCAATGAAAAAGGTAATAACAATGAAAAGGATTTTATTGCTAGCATGTAAATAATGCTGTCTAGAACTAAACTAGCAATGCAACAAGTTGGCAAAAGAAATACAGTGAAAAACCAATCGAGTGTTACTAGCTTGCCGATATAACAAATTAAACCAGACACATTGGTGTTTTCCTCAGTAATAGAGATGCTATAATTACAATTCCATACATATTTTTTAAAAAGTTATTTTGCAAGGCATTTCCTTTTAGAAGCAGCCTTTCTCTCCCCTCCTCCCCCATTTATTTATGAATAAACAGAACTGCCCTCACCAGCATAAAAACTAGATGCATCCATCTTTTATCTGGTCATATAGCTCAAGATGATAGGACATACAAGCTGATTTTCCTGTCGAGAAAGCACTTAATCATGTGTATTATTTTATAAAAGATGAAACATTGTTTCATAAAAGATAAAACAATGCTCTATAACAGCATTAAGCAAATTCATGATGTCACAATGCAAATGGGAAAGGAAAGTGGAATTGTGCTGCTCTATATCTGTACTATTATCAGTTATCACAAAGGATTTAAGATATATATCCCATAAAGAGTGGTAAGAATTAAAAGTGTGTATTGTATTATATGCTGTATTTAAATATATGATACCATAGTATCTTGTTCCTTCTATTTGGAGAAATTCTGAAGAAGTTTAAAAAAGGAGAAGGAAAAAAAAAGGAGATGGCAAAATAAAAATGAGAGTTAGATTCTATGTTGTTGGAAAAGAGTGATTTGGTAGTCTGTACTTCGGCCTTTTACTTTAGAAATGAGATGTTTGGGTAAATTAAATTGAAATCATTGAAGTCCCCCATCTCCATTTCAGTTGGTAGAAAATGCACAGCTCCTTAGAAAAATATGATTTCAAACACAACACCAGCTATGTGGGAACATCTTGAAGCAATGGTAGTATCAAAAGTAGCGATTAAAATTAAGCACCCACTGCAAGCCCAAATAATTTAGCCAATAACACACACACCATTTTATACACATAAACAAATATTTTAATATAGCCGCATCTGAAATGTTATCCACATTTTAGTCGTGTCAAATATTAACTAAACTTTTTGTAAAAATGACGTATTTTACACATCTTTTATTTACAACTTTAATATACTTAAATGTTATAAAACACCCACTTTTGTCTTTTAAAATATATGTATACAGGTCGTATTAGATTATATTATTATTTATAGCAAACATAAGGTTTGCTGTGAAACTAAATATTCAATGGATATTTCATTTCGGTCTGTTTACTAAAGACTGGCCCATAATAAAGAAAATCATAGGAAATGTGCAAATATCAAGAAAGGCAATAATACTGAAAAAAATCAAAGCGACTATTTTTCTTAAATTGACACATAAAATGTCCAATAAATAAAAAATAATAATGAAATAGTTATGGTATCCTCCAGGATTTGCCTACATTGTTTTGCAAAATAGCGCCAAAATTATCCAGTTCATAATCAAAGGCAGTTACGAAATATCTGCATTTGATGAAAGTGATCCAGGTGGGGCAGTGATTGTTCTACTGATTGCATGGGAATAAGGTGTTTCCACTCCTGGACGCTTTGCAGAATCCTCCTTGTAAGTGATCTTTAAAACAGATGCATACATAAAGAAATAAGTAATCCTGAGTAAATAAGTAAACGTGTGGAAAAATTAAGCTCACTCTAAACTATACTTTTAGGAACCAACTTGGTCAGCTGTTTTTATCTATCCAGTTAAGTTTGTTTTTGTTTTGTACTTGATACCTTCTTCCAACAGGAGTCCAACTTAAAAAAAAAAGACTTCCTTCTTTAGCTTCCAATTTTGTAACATTTCTGTGAGATTATATTTTGACAATTTTATGAAGTAAATACATATATGAATTTAGCTCTGCTGGCAATGAACATCATAAATAAACAGTGTATCACCTATTTACTTGCTGCATTTAACATTTAGCTGCAAATGGAAGCCAGATGTGGCCATAATAAATAGTTGACACCCACACCAGACATGAATCAAGCAGCTCTTTCTAATGTCTAAACATGAAGCATGAATGTATTTAAACATTTATTTAAACATTTACTCCTACATAAGTACTGGAGATACATACAGTACATCATGCACATTTGCTGACAAGGCCCCAGGAAAAAGTCTACTCCAGGCATGCAACCCCACTGCAAGTGCTGAAGAAGAAACATCATGCCTTAAATAGGACTCTTATGAAACTTAAGTGTGTCTATTAAAAATGAACATGGAAATGGACCGTGGCTATTAGTCCATGAAGTCCTAGACAAGAATGCCTGGCATATCATTACAGTTCTCCCTGACCCTGTATTATATTTCATGCTTCCCAAAAGAATGACTAATGCCCATTTTTCTGCTAAGCATCACCAGTGAGATGCATCCTTATTAAATGTTAAAAGAGCAGTCAGTGAGAATACATGACAGTAAAGGAACAGAGAGCAAAAAGAAAAACAAACATACCACTTTTGGCTATGGTATTGAGGGAAATGTTAGACAGTGAAGCAGAAAAGTTGTATAAGCACTGACCATGACAGAGCTGCCAGAAAAACAGAAAGAAAAAGGTTGATGAAAACGCCACAGTCAGTGGATGTAGAAACACAATAGTAATGCAAAACACATAGGACTTCAATGCCTGTACGTCAGTGTTTCTCAACCTTGACAATTTTAAGGCATGTGGACTTCAACTCCCAGAATTCTGGGAGTTGAAGTCCATATGCCTTAAAATTGTCAAGGTTGAGAAACACTGCTGTACGTAAAACACCATTAAGGACATGGTGACACAATCTGTGTTGATGTCGTAAAAACACAACAGGGAACTGGCACGGCTTTGGAGGTGACTAACTATGGAGGGCTGTAATCACAGAAACCTTGAACTGTCTTCTCCGAATTGAATGCGGTATGAGGCAGTTACTTGTCAGAAGTCATAGAAAGTCCATCTGGCCTGCTGGGATGCTTCTTGAGAACATTGACAAATAATGATAAATGATACGATAACATGACGTGGTATAACCCAAAGCAACAATAACAACTACAACACCAACAAAACAAACCTGTGAAATTATTCATAGGATTGATAAAGAAACAGTAAGGCCCTAATTGATTAACTTATGTAAGTACTAAGATATAAGCCTGAAAATATTATTCATCTAGTCCTGTTCCGGATATGGGATCTTCTACCCAAGCAATTTTGAATCTATAACAGGATCTCTTGATAGTGAGTTCTCAATTTTTTCACAGGCTAAGGTTCATCCTATAATCCATGTGCTTTTGGCCTATATGATTGGGAAGGAGAAAAGCTAGTGACCTTGATATGCCAGGATAGAATAACTGTGGTGTCTGCTCAAACGGTAAAGAATCAAGGAAACCTCCTCCACTTTGCTCTTGAGATTGTATTTCCCTTCACCTGAATTTATTACCTCTCCCTGTGTGGGTATGTGGTATCATATGTAGCCTTTGACAGAAGAAAATGGAAGTTTAACTGCGAGTTTTCTTGTACACGATGACTTATTCTTACTTCTAGATATAATAACAGACCAGCATCCAATTTGATGTTATTCTGTGTACATAGATTCCAATGTAACCTGCTTCTACTTTTCACATAATCTGTGGTCAAAGATCAAAATGTATTCAATAGCAAATCAAATCCCAATATGTCCCTATATTGTTAAGCCCTTCATGGAATGATTGGCCTAAAAAGAGTTACTGTATGTTTTTCTAAATAATATCAACTTAAAAATACCAAATAGGTAAATATTTGTCAGAATTTGCTTTAAGAAGGAAGGAAGGAAGGAAGGAAGGATGGAAGGAAGGAAGGAAGGAAGGAAGGAAGGAAGGAAGGAAGGAAGGAAGGAAAGAAGGAAGGAAGGAAGGAAGGGTCAACCTCTATAGATCATTAGAATTAGTCAGCATAATAGATTTTTTTCCCCCTCTGATTAATGTTACTCTTAAATGATAGAAATCGGAACTGGAGGGAATAAATATTGATTAGCAGCTGAATGAAGGCGAAATAGATAGGAATATTTGAAATGAGAATATCCTTTAGACCAGGGGTAGTCAACCTTGGCTCTTTTATGACTTGTGGACTTCAATTCCCAGAATTCCTGAGCCAGCTAAGCTGGCTCAGGAATTCTGGGAGTTGAAGTCCACGAGTCATAAAAGAGCCAAGGTTGACTACCCCTGCTTTAGACCAAGAAAAGAACTTTGGAAATTAGTAGGTTTTCCCAAGGTGGCTCCCCAATTAGGATTTAGGCACACTTATGTGACAACCCTAATGTCTTTGGAGTTGAAAACAAAATATTGAAAAAGAATGGCTAACCTGTTCATTCATAATCTCTGAGAGCTCACTGAGCATGTTCCTGTAATGAGATTTCATTTCTTCCTGATATTCCAGCTGATCCTCCTTAATAAGGCGTTCATTAACTTCAAGAGCTTGTCCACATGCTTCTGCAAATTGTCTGCACAGCACAAAAATCTCATATCTTTAATATCAAGGTCATGTGTTATTGTTTCAAATATAAAATAACATTTTGATTTCATTATGGATTAAAAATGGTGTAGTCATAAGGGACACAAAAAGATAGTCTAGACTTTTTGAAGAATTCTGTATTTGACACCTGATGTTTTGTTAGACCAACAAGGCCAGTTATCCTTGTGTTTATCTCTATCTCTATCTACCGCAGCGGTTCTCAACCTATGGGTCGCGACCCCATTTGGGGTCGATCGACCATTTCACGGGGGTCGCCAAGCAAGGCTGTCCGCCATTTTTTCCCCTTTTCTGGCGGTGCCTTACCTCCTTTGAGCTGGGCCAGCTGGTGGTCGGCCTGCTCCATCTCTGCCGCTTGCCAGCTACGCCTCGGCCAGTGCAGGGGGCAGAACCATGCATGCGCGGTGCTCCCGGGCAGGGAAAGTCCTTGACTTACGACCGGTTGGGTAGTCCTCGACTTACGACCGGTTTAGTCCTCAACGTACGACCGGTTTAGTCCTCGACTTACGACCGGTTGGGGGTTGCGGCATTAAAAAGGTTGAGAACCACTGATCTACAGGATCTCTATGACTGTTTATCTCTATACCTCTCCCTCCCTCTCTCCCTCCCTCTCATCTACCTAATCTATTGTAAAACTTACCTGAAGATTTCTTTCAGAAGTTTAACTTGGTTATCTGGGTACTTCTTAGCATTGGTTTCTTCAAGAAATGCTCGAGCATAAGCCATTGGTCCTGCATTTACCTGCAAGTCAAAGTGTGCTATGTTATACTGAGGGCTGAGGGTCAGTGCTGGCAAAGGCAGATTAAAACAATTTTTCTTCTATCACCACCTGAAGTCCTGATCTTGTTCACCTACTGCTGATGAGTTTTCTGAATTGCAGATACATTATGGAAAGGAAGCATTTGCAGAATATATATATATATTCTGCAAATATATATATATTCTGCAAAGTACGGCAGGATCAGCTGGGGCCTGTTACTCGCTCCAGGAGCCGTAAACTGACGTTCGGCAATGATATATAAGACTTCAACCGGCTGTTGCCTTTTAGCCCTGAAGATGTCAAATGTTTTGTTGACGAAAGCTAGGTAGATTAAACATTTTATATGTATTCTCTTGGCGGTCTGTATTTATTTTGATATTATGATTTTTCCCAAGAGTCGAGTTTTTAGTTTTATTCATATATATATATATATAAAGTTTTATTTTTAATATATTCTTAATATAATATATATATTAAGAATACAAGTAAAAATACGGCTCTTGGGAATATCCATTTGTTAAAACAATGATCACCAAGAGAATACTTAAATAAAATTTAATAAATCAACCTAGCTTTCGTCAAAATACATATGACATCATACATTAAAAGGCAAGTAAAAAAGGGGGGGACTTATGGTATATACCGTTATCAAGCGTCCTGTTATCAAGTGTCTGCTTCTGGCTATTAGAGCGCGTCATTGGCCCCAGCTGTTCAGAGTATAACTCAAGCTTACCTCCTTTAATACACATTCTTTTATTACTAACTCACATTCCCTCACACATCACTCGATCGGCAGCTTCAGAATTAAGTGGATTCAGGATCAAGGTCATATATATATATATATGCAAAATGGGTGGCTTGCTAGCACACCTTTAGTGATTACCAGAATCTTTCCAAGATTGGGTGGTCAAAATGTTTGGCACCAATATTAAGGAACCAATTTTATTCTTTAAAACAACTTTAATAAATATCCTAAACTGGGGCCCAACCCTCAAAATGCTGTAAAAATAATATGGCTCTCAAACTGTGGGATGTAACTAAAGGGTAGCCAACTTAAGTTCACTGCATCAAAGTACTATCACACTAAAAGCACAATAGATAAAATAAAAAATGAAAAAGTGTAGTATACTAAATTGCAGTTATCAAAATAAAAGTTAAATTGAAATGAAGCTAGATAACTCTTAGTCTAATAACACTGCCTTTAGTTTATTCTTCTGACTCTCATACAATTTTATCAGTATTTGTCTTCACTTTTCCTCTAAGATACATTTCCCACTGCTTCACTGAAGAAGTGACACCAGAAAGGAAGCTCTTTTTTTTATGCTGATTTTCTCATGATGATATACGACCTGTAGCAGGTATCAAAAACTTATTCTCGGAGGAAAGGAATGCAGTGGAGATACATCCTAAGGCAGAACCAGCAATCTTTCTGGCAGAGGGATAATGATGTGCTAATCAGTACCTTCATTTTACCCTTTGACAGACCTAGCAGGAGGTATTAGGAATTGGGGATTAAATCTCAGATTTAATGGCTATCATCTATGGGTTTTTTTAACATTGAAATTACTTAATTACTTAAATTAATTAATGTTATAATGCTGTTTTGAACTTCCAGCAAGTCGAGTTATAACAACAGAAAGAGACAAACAGAGAAAGATTCTGTTTCCAATTATAAAATCCTAAATATCAAATCTTTTAAACCTGGGAAGAGGGCTGAACCGTATTTACCTTGACACTGACACTTCCTTGTAGCTTCAGCTGGAGTCGAATCATATCTACCTCTTCCATTGTGCAAAGCTGTTTGAGTTCTGAAATTTTTTTGGACATCTCATCAATAGCTACTTCTATGGGGTTCAGTTCTGTGCTGGTCTGATTTACGACTTGTATCCTTTTCTTCACGTATGGAAATAAATGGCTAGCTGCAGTCAAAGACAAGGTAAATACATCTAAGAAAATTTATTTAATATAATGTAATATATTCATAATTTTTAAAAAGCCATAATTCATACAATAAGTCCATGAATAGTTCCATTCGCTCATTCTACTGTATGTATGTGTGTATGTGTGTTTGCATGTGTGTAGGTGTATATTTATAGTTTTCTAAAATACTCCATAAAAAGATTACTTGCTTGCATTTATCAAATTCCAGAATAGGTGTAAGAATGTCATATTCGTATTTCGAAACATAGCCATTGACAATTCAGTGACAATCCCTTAAATAATTAGCAATGTGCTACAAAATATTTTTAACAATTTTTGTAAATAATAAATAACTAATTGCTGTGCTGAGTCACTTAGATTGAGAAGGGTGGCTTTACTTTATAATAATCATTTTTGCCCCTTCACCTTTTTTGTGCCCCTACAGGTCAGCATTGATTACTGTTGACTACCTGAGCTAGTCCCTGGAGTTTTCTTAGCTAGATTTTTTAAAAATAGTTTGTTATTGCCTTCTACCTATGACTGAGAGGGAGAGACAAGTCCAAGGTCACTGAGCTAGTTTTGTGCCTGAGGCAAGACCAGAACTCAGTCTTATGCCTTAACCATTACACCAAACTGTTTCGCTCTCTCATTCTCTTTGTGGCCTTTAGCACTTTGACATCATGACACTGAAACAGTGCAATTTAGGTCATTGGTTTTTGGGGAGGGAGTGGTTATCCAATGGTCTCCTGTGGACTTTCAGAAGGTTCAGAGGCCGAGAGTGGCCCACCATCCCTGAGAAATTGCCCATCCCTGCTGTGAAGAAGAATGCAGTGTCCATACTTGTCAAAATTGTCCGTCTTTTGCATTGCTCTTCTACGCCCCCATGCTTCTTTCCTGACAAGGTGAACGGCGTTTCAAACACAAAGTGGTTGATATTGTGATGCATTTCAAAGTCAGTCTTACGTTCTCCGGCTTCTTTCTCTTCAAAGAAGGGTGTGACATAGGTTACTTGGATATATGCATATTTAGGATCTAGGTCTTTCGGGTTAACCTATACAAACAAAAGGGAAGACAATGCAGCAGTTAGAGACAGCAAAAGGACAAGAGAAAAAAAAAAGCTAGACTCTTGCTTTTTATGGCATATTACAGAAAGACTGTTTAGACATTGTAAAAGATAATATATTCATAGATTTCTTTGCTTTCAGATATTTTTGAGCATAAAAGGAGAAGAACCCTTTTCTTAAATGAACAAAAAAGATTTCTAAGAAAGCCTTTGCTGCTGGCAGTTCCATAACAAATTTCAGGACCTGCCACTTTTAGTCAATTAATAACAGGGTAATTAATGTACATAATTTTACAAATCACAGCATGTAACAAATGTTTATATTACTATCAATGGCATTATAATTTTTCTGATCAGAGAGATGAAATATACATAATTACATGGCCACAGCCGTGGTTATGCCTTGCCAGATCCATAATTCCTCTTCATTGGTTCCAAGTCATTTGTGCTTTGAGCTTCACTGAACTTATGCAGTGAGCATGGCTCATTGTGAAAAAAAGAATGTTTCATTTATTTTAAGTGTGTCTGGGTAACGAACTCTGTAATAGCATAAATGCTTTAAAAAAAATAATTCTGCGGACATTTCCCACCATACCTTATTGGAATCTTGGATTATCTTCACATTGTCTGCTCCAAACTTGTCTGCATAAAGTTTCATCAGTCGCTGAGAGATCTCAGATAGGCCTGTTAATTTGGGCTCTTTGTAAATATATTCCTTACCCTCTTCCTCTTCAAAAAAGCCCTGATTAAAAGATAAATCATAACAATTACAGTAAACTGAGTATGATTAAAACCACTTTAAGAACATACTGTGGATGAAAAATATAAGGTACTCAACTGCTAAGTATAACAAATTAATTTTTTTTGAATGCTGCAGCTTATGCATGATGAAGAAATGGAATGCATTTAAAACCAAACTTCTACATTTGCACAGGATGAATATCAACTTTTACTAATAGGGGGAAAAAGCCTGTGTGAAATGTGACTGAAAACATCCTTGGAGTTTTATATTAGGTACACCCACATTTTGCAGCAAGTGTGCCACCATGTGGTAGAATTCAGTAAAGATAATGAAAATTATTGGAACTAAATATTAGTTTCTTCTTTCTTTCTAAAAACACAACTGCAGTCAAAACTACTGTTGTATGTATGTGGGGAAGGGGACAATTCTGCAATTAAAATAACATACTAGCTTTTGAAGCCATGTATTACTTGTTAGTTGATTCTGGGGAACTAAACTGATTTATTTTTATTAGGCAGAAAGCTGTGTTCTCATTGAAGAGAGTTGCTTGCTTCTGAAAAAATTACACACAACTGGTTTGTTAGTCAGCTATGCCCATAGGGAGTACTATTTTTTTCTGAGTTATAGCTTTTAGCATTGTGCCTTTTTAAAATAACAAGCTGCATAGTAGTTCCAATCTATAAATACACCACTCGTATGAACTATTCATTGTATGAACTATTGATGCAATCCAGTACTTTATGAAAGTTTGTTGTGTATGCAGATTTTGGCTATGATTCATGTACACATATACATCCTTTCATATTCATATCACCGTGGATGTCGTTCTGAGCTTATATAATAGAGTAATGCTATCAAAGAATCCCTAGATAGTCTCAAAACAATTTAAATAAGCGGGAAATGTTTCTGATAGAGGACATTCTAGAATTCTTACTCCCTTTTTGTATTTGGGAAATGACAACTAAATTAGAATACACAGTTTTCATATTTAACTATACACATGGGATGTTATTTACCTGGTTTAGTCTAGTTAATGGAAATTAGTTGTCAGTGCTGCTGTTGTTATTTTTATTAAAACCGGGAAAGTAATGTTTTTATTTATTTTGCATGACTTGCTCTAGAACTCTGGGATGCCTTTCCTGGGATGCATGTTCAGGGGTGGGGCTTCCACAGGAAGGGACATTAACTGAAGAGGAGCCCAGTGCCAGCCCACTGAACTGTCAGCTCCCTCACCAACTCTATTGAGGACATTCCAGGCTGCGTGGGAAGAGACTGAGGGGGAGAGGTGATGCTTATCTGCTGTTGCACTGGGAGGATGCCAGCATTTGTCACAGAACACTTGATCACATTTCTGCATTCAGAGGCCCCAGACTCATTTATTCACAAATGATAAACAATGGTCTATACGGCATTCACTTTCCATTTGTATTTTTGTAAAAAAAAAAGCCCTCCATCCCTTTTGTGTGTGCAAGTCAGTCTTGACGTTTTCTTGGCAAGATTTCAGAAATGGTTTGCCATTGCCTCTTTCCTAGGGCTGCAAGAGTGACTGGCTGGCCCAAGGTCACTCAGCTGTCTAAGGCAAAACTAGAACTCATAGCTTCCCAGTTTCTGGGAGTCTGATGCCTTAACCACTACACCAAACTGTTTCTCTTGCTCATTCTCTTTGTGACCCTTAGCACTTTGAAGTCATGATGCTGAACCTGTAACTCCCCATGAAACAATATTTAATAATAATAATAATAATAATAATAATAATAATAATAATAATAATAATAATAATAATAATAATAATAATAATAATAATAATATTTTTTCAATGCCGTTGTAACTTTGAATGGTCACTAAACGTACTGTTGTTAAGTCAAAGACTACCTGTATTCCTAAAAGATCTCAGAGAGACTGTTGCTCACAGAAGAGAACTGCAACTCAAAATATCTACCTCTGAGGTCACTGGAAGGAACTCCTCTGACCTGATCTTACTGGATGGAGAGAACCTACTTGGAGAAGGGGGTATCAAATATATCCAGATCTTGACTCCTGAATGGCTTTAAAGATGACAACCAGAAGATTGTATCACATCCACAAGCAGCTTTTTCAACAACCTTCCTCTGAAAGAGGAGATTGGAGATCTCAATTGTCACCCAGTATTGGTAAGATGAATTATAATTTCTTTAGGTGGAACCACTCTTCTTCCTCTTTCAAGGCAGGTGGCATTAACCCTTCACCAAAAGATGCATTTACATTGCACTGACACAATGTTATCAGTTGCCTCTTTGGAAGATCTCACCAACACAGTAAGGGCAGCATCTATCAGATGGTGAAGCTAATGACACATAGAACCTAGTTCTGAAATACCTTGCCAAGGGATGTTTACTAGGTCCATATGTAATAATCTTTTTAGTACTATTGATTTTATTCAAATACATAGATACTACAAATATATCCTTAGAATATTCCTGTACTTGGAAGATCACTTTCATTGATTCTTCTTTTACTCAATAGTTCTCTCAAAATGCATACAGAAAACTGAGGAAAGTCCTAAAATAACATGAAAAAGGGAGACTACTGAAGATTGCTTCCCCTTCTTATCTGCAACAGAAGCTTCTTTTGAATATGTGAAAAAAAATCTAGATTCAAGTCAATATATGCAAAATTAGGAGATTGAGGAATATTAATTTAACTTCATGGTAATAGAGGAGAAGAATACAATATTGTCAGTTTTGCCAATATGGTCCCTATTTAATAACAAAATCTGATACCTTAAAAATTCAGATCATTATCTCTGTATTGTCAAAGTCAAAGTCAATTTAAAATTGCCCTACTTATAATAATAATAATAAAGTTGGAAGGGACCTTGGAGGTCATCGAGTCCAACCCCCTGTTCAGGCAGGAAACCCTACACCATTTCGGACAGATGGCTGTCCAGTCTCTTCTTAAAAATTTCCAGTGTTGGAGCATTCACCGCTTCTGGAGGCAGGTTGTTCCACTGATTAATTGTTCTAACTGTCAGGAAGTTTCTCCTTAGTTCTAGGTTGCTTCTCTCCTTGATTAGTTTCCACCTGTTGCTTCTTGTCCTGCCCTCAGGCGCTTTGGAAAATAGCTTGACACCCTCTTCTTTGTGGCAGCCCCTGAGATATTGGAACACTGCTATCATGTCCCCCCTCGTCCTTCTCTTCGTTAAACTAGACATACCCAATTCCAGCAACCGTTCCTCATATGTTTTAGCCTCCAGTCCCCTAATCATCTTTGTTGCTCTTGTATTGAAAATGAATGCTGCATAACTACTGTGTTCTTCCTATAAGATCATTTTAGTTTATCAGAAAGAATCTTGATGTTTGTATAATCTCAATTTGTTTTCATTATTCTTTTCATCATAAAACAATTCATGTTTTCTGTCTTTACTAACTGGCAAGACATTTTGAGGTAGCTTTAAAAAACAGGAGCTTTGTGAAACTATACAACGTTCACAACATCCTTAGGCTTACATAATTGTATTACTTTCGCTTAATTTGAGATAGTCCTGTGTTTGTCCTTACTTCATGGAATTTAACATAGTTTCTTTGAGAATCCTTGTAATTCTCATTTACATTTTTGCACTTCAGCAGTATTTTAATGAACCATGAAATTGCAGTCCTCTATGCACTTTTCATTGAACTATTTTCCCTTGGAAACAATTAGTTTCATATAACGGCAAATGCTGCCCATGTGTGCCTAAATATTAAATAGGTCACATAATGCCAGTTCTGCATCTTTTTGTAAAATATTCCACTATGAAATGTTGTGAAATATATTTGCTCCTTATAAGATACAGTGAGTAATAAATTATCAACCATATGCTTAGGGCTAGTAAAATGCCTGCAGATTGTTAAAAAGGTTTAGCTCCCTTGGTTGATTTTTAGTACAAGGTGAACTTACTTACAGTATACTCTGGTTCAATTATCTGGGACAGTGCTGTCAAACTCAAATTGTCACAGGAAGGTGCTGCACAAAACTATTTTGTTAGTAAAAAAATGAATACAATGAAGAGTATCCTGGAACAAATGCTAAAATAAATGGATTCAGTAAAAACCTTTACTAAAGTCTGAGTTTCTTGTGAAATACCACTTTATAATATGTTGATAAGACTACACTTGGAATACTGAATCCAGTTTTGGTCACCATGAAAAAAAAGATATGGAGACTCTAGAACAGGCATGTCAAACTCGTGACGTCACATGACGTTGCACGATGTATCGCGACTTTTTCCCCATTGCCGGCAATGGGGTGGGTGCGGTTTCGGCATGACGCATCTGGTCCGTGGGCTGGCAGTTTGACATGCCTGCTCTTGAAAGAGTGCAGAGAAGAGCAACAAAGATGATTAGGGGACTGGAGGTTAAAACATGAAGAACGGTTGCAGGAATTGGGTATGTGTTGTCTAACGAAGAGAAGAACTGAGGTGACATGATAGCTGTGTTCCAATGCCACAAACAAAAAGCATTCAACCTATTCTCCAAAGCACCTGAAGGCAAGACAAGAAGCAATGGATAGAAACTTATCAAGGAGAGAACCAATCTAGAAATAAGGAGAAATCTGCTGACAGTGAGAACAATTAATCAGTGGAATGGCTTGCCTCCAGTAAGTTGTGAATGCTCCTTCACTGGAAATTTTTAAGAAGAAATTGGACAACTATTTGTCTGAAATAGTATAAGGTCTCTTGCTTGAGTAGGATATTGGACTAGAAGACTTCCAAAATCCCTTCCAACTCTGTCTTCTGATCATTTAGCTGGCAGTGCTTTTTATTATTGGAACCATTATTTGGTTGTATTACTGGATTTATATATAATACTTTTCAAAATAATATCAAGGATAGTATAGGAACATATATTACTTTAAGCTCTTCTCTCTACTGTTGAACAAGAAGATCTTTGTTTCCTTTGGTTTTTTTCTCTCTCTTTTACTTCCCTTCTCTCTACTTGCCTGGCTCCCTCTCTCCCCTCCTTTTTCTCCCATACTTTGCCTAGCAGAGAGACTCACAGTGTGGCAGAGCTGATCTTCCTTGAACTCCCTCCTCCATCCCTCTCTCAGGCAGGCCCAAACTCCTGGCCCATCTTCCCTGATCAAGTCCCTCCTTCTTCAAGCCTTTATACTAAGGGAGCCTAGTGCTGCCTCTGAAGCAGCACCTGCCATGGCATGGAAGAGGGAGTGAGGCTTCCTGAAGAGTTGGGCTACTTGTAGAGCCTGGAAACCAGCTGGATCAGGTTGAGGTGAGTCACCAGGAAACCTCTACCTGGAAGGTTGTGTATCTATATGATGCTCAGCACCGTGATCTGAGTTGTTACAAAGTATTGCCGTGGAGGCAGAAAATCTATTTATCTTCAGAATCGATCTAATTTATAAAGACACCCATCTATCAAAGTAACTCTGAGCAGCAAACAAAAGTAGAAACCATCAACAATGATAAAACATAACAGATCAAGCCTGCCTCATTTTAAATTGTAAAAAAACCAGCCTCTCTACACATCCATGTCAAAGTTCCAGAAATTCCAGCCTGGCCCCAGAGTCTGAGAGAAGAGGCAGATCTTCATGGTCTTCTGAAAAATTCATAAGGCTGGGGCTGTATCTCTGAAAGGGCAGAGTTAATAGGACAGGTGCCATGAAGACACACTTCCTAGGAATCACCAAGTAAACATTGTCTCATGGCGGCGGCGGGGGGGAGAACTGGAGCACGCCTGCTCTGCCAGATCTGGTGGGACATGAGGTACAAGTTTGAAGCCCCTGCCTTAGTATAAAAATTATGGGTTCTTTTAGATCATGATCAACTCTTAATACATTTTATTGCAATACACATATCAAGGAAAAAATAAAGATACTAATTGAACAAAGGGTGTCAACACACTCAAGTTGATTTCAAAGTAACAGGATTTTTAGGTAAATCACTATAGCCAATTAATAAAGTAAGATCTTTCATTTCTGAAGAAAGATAATATACTAAAGTGTGTTGGGAGAGGTACTGGTGCACATAGGGGTGCCCACAATGACTAGACTGTCTACCTATGAATGAATAGATGTTTATATTTAGTTGCAGGGAAATCAAAGTTTATGTATTGTCATTCTATTTATTTTCCACAACTTGATATTTGCCAGTCTGTGTGGCCCAACCATCTGAAAGGCTTCATGTTGATGAAAGCTACATGACAAAGGTTTGCATTTTTTTGAGTAACCTGATACAGTATGTACACCCCAAAGTAGTAAACCAAGGGCAAAACTATCAGGCATGCATGGTTAATGGTTAATGGTTAATGATCTCTGGAGGGCCCGGGACAGAGGGTATTCCTCTGTCCTTGTTCTTTTGGACCTCTCAGCGGCTTTTGATACCGTAGACCACGGTATCATGCTGCGGCGTCTCGGTGAGTTAGGAGTGGGAGGCACCGTTATGCGGTGGTTCTCCTCCTTCCTCACCGACCGTACGCAGTCTGTATTGGCAGGGGGACA